GGGTTTCTAGCAAGTGCAATGGCACCCTGCAGTCGCAGTCGATAGAAGTAGGTCCTTGCTGCTCCTCCCTCAGCTTAGCCAACAAATGCTGCCACCACTCAAGTTCCCGTATGGCACGAATAGGTGCCATGTACTCGAACTCTACCGAGCACCAAGCGTGGTCAACTTACTTCTTGCTGTCCAAGGCGGTTGGGCCTCCACCAACACAGCAGATCAGACCTTCCATAATTCTTATGTCCACTAGTTCCGATGCATAAGACGCATCGGAGAATGCATTGATGAACATATCCACGGGTTCAACACCATCCGCGCCCTTTTGGTGCCTTTGTGCCACCGCCAAGTATTGCAGCCCAACGGTCATTGTTTGGTGAAGATACTTGGCCACCCTCGTTCTAGCTGCTACCTGCTCGTGGAAGCCGGCGGCCGTCTTCAACCTGTGGTCGACGAAGGGGCTTGTCGACCAGGGAGGGGTGTCGACTTGAAAGCGACGACTTTAGGAGGCTGACTTCGCGAAGTCGGCGGACAGCTGGTCTGGTCGACGAGGGGTTCGTCGACCTGCGAAGTTGTCGGCCTGTTGAATTCGGCGGGTGGTCGACTAGCACGTACAGCTTTGACGGGCTCCAGCCGCGCAAGTCGATGCCGACGTGCTGGTTTCCTCGTCGACCATGTTACCAGGGCGACGAGATTTTGTGGGGTGCGCGACTGTCGCCCGGAAGGTTTTCGCAAAGCCGACCTCAGAGGTCGGCGTGGCTCATCACGCGCAGACAACGACACGTGGCCGACCTGACAGTTGCGCCATGCACGTGACAGTGCACGTCACAATAACCGTCTGCAAGCACCTACGAAATAGGTGCACGCATGTGCACTGCTGTCATCTGCGGATGCAACGCTGGACGGCCGCCTTGCTGCAGAGTTGGAAAGCCGCCTACGTTGGCAAGCCGCCATTCTGCAGCACTGGAGCAGTGCGGACTTGCAGTACTGGCAGGTCGCCAACTTTGCTACTGCCCCTTACCTAGCCTAGGGGGTGTGTCAGAGTGCATATATACCAGTACGTTTTGCGTCAATGTAGTACGATAGCGTAATTAGGAACTAGGGTTTGGGGAATACATGGCCTTAGAAGCATAGGCAAGGGAGTTGAGAGAATTGTGGCCAAGGAGAAAGTTGAGAATGGATGGATTTGTCAGAACATATTTTGCATATGTTTTGTATAAGTGCATATAGTCTAGCTGTAGTGTAGTCACATATGTGTTCTGTGTGGTGGTGCACCACTCCTAGCTTGCTTCTAATCTATTTGTACCTGTCTTCACATAATGCAAACCCCTTCTTGCCTGGACTTCTCTTCCAATGGCTTGCCTAAACCCTAGTTCCTAAGTCTACCTATAACTACTATTTCAACATGGTAACAGAGTGGATACACTCCTAGCTTGTGGGCCCGCCTGTTTTCGCTGCCATACTGTCTGTCGCGCGCCCCGTGGCGCGCGACCTTTTCTTCTTCTTCTTCTTCCCGCCACGCGCTCGGGGCGCGTGGCGGTTTCCTGCCCGCCGCGCGCCCCGGGAGCGCGCGGTGGTTTCGTCGCCCGTCGTGGCGCCCTGGGGGCCCGCGCGCTGTCCCCTCCCGTCGCCCGTCGTGGCACCCTGGGGGCCTGCGCGTCGCCCCGCCTCCCGTCGCCCGCCGCGGCTCCCTGGGGGCCCGCGCGTCGCCCCCCCTCCCGTCGCCCGTCGTGGCGCCCCGGGGGCCCGCGCGTCGCCCCCTCCCGACGCCCGTCGTGGAGCCCCGGGGGCCCGCGCGTCGCCCCTTCCCGTCTCCCGTCGTGGCGCCCTGGGGGCCCGCGCGCCGCCCTGTTCTTCGCCCGTCGCAGCCCCCCGGGGACCCGCGCCCCGCCCTGCTTTCCGCTCGCATGCCGCCCCAGCTGCTACCCGCCCCGCCCCGCCTGCGTTTGGATCTTGGGGTGGCGGGTATGGGGGTGGCGGTTATGGGGGTGGCGGGTGTGTGAGCCGTTCCCTGCTCCTCCTCCTACTCCGTCTCCCACTGCTGCAGCTGCCGCTGAGGGGGGTGGGTGTGTGGGAGCCAAGGGAGTGGCGCTAGGGGGGTGTCGTGGGAGTGGAGCTAGGGGTGCAGCAAGGGGGTGTGTGAGAAGGGGATGTGGGACTGTTAGGGGAGGTAGCGGAGGTCGCCGTCGTGTCGTCAGTAGCGCCAGTAGTCCAGAGCCCTCGTGCTCTCGGTAGCCCAGCGAGCCTGCTTCGCCAGTCGCCTGTGGGTCCGTTGCTCCTGCCGCTCGTCGTAGCCGCGGAGCCAAATACTCCCGTAGTCCGGTGCCCTCGTGCGCTCGGTAGCCACTGTGCGCGCCGCTCCTGTTGCCCGTGTGACTGCGGCTTCACCTGTCGCCTCCTTTCTCCACTCCTCTCACATTCCCTCCTCCTTACTTCGCCTCTTCTTCTGCTACTCCTCGCAGGGTGCACCACTTCATGGGTTGTTCTGCACAAGGCTATTCCTGCATGCAGTTAGGGGGTGTGTCAGAACATATATTGCACATGTTTTGTATAAGTGCATGTAGTCTAGCTGTAGTGTAGTCACATATGTGTTATGTGTGGTGGTGCACCACTCCTAGCTTGCTTCTCATCTATTTGTACATGTCTTCACATAGTGCAAACCCCTTCTTGCTTGGACAACTCTCTCTTGCCTAGGCCTAAACCCTAGACTACTGTACTGGACATGCCTACTATTACAACAGGATTGCACTATGGAAGTAGGGGTAGGGTACAAAAAGAAGCAAGCAAGGCAAAACTGTACACCACCAACAAAATAAGTAACTACACCTACTTTTGCTGCAAGCAATTACACTAGAGAATGTACGGTACTTGAACGATTCATGTGTGAACTTTATATTTGGGCTAGCTAGGGTCGCTTGCACCATAGAGGGTATGAGATTGCATATGTTTCATGCTAGTCATTCATTTTCAAGTCTAACACAACTTTCTCCCAACGAGGTGAACGCTTCTGCCATGCACTCCACACCTTTCTTGGCACCTTTCTTCGGATGCCTGCCAACGAATCAGGTCTTTCCTATAAATTAGCGAACCCCACTTTCACCTGGAGTCACAAGAACACCCAACCCTCCTCCCCCTCTCCTGTTCCTCCCCGTCCTGATATAATGGAACTTGAGCCTTTAATCATTTGGGGCAGTTACAATATTAAAGGCTCCACCAACCAATCCAAGAGCCTGTGCCATTCCAATCCACTGATGTCAGTACCAAGTGGGCAGATTCTAAGTTGCAACGCAATGGCTTCAATTTCAATGCTTTGCAGTGGTGATGCTGGTGGAGGTACGGCTGGCGAATCTGGTACCCTTGAGACGTCTCGTGTTGTTTTTTTCCCCCGCTTGCTCCGCCCCCTCCCCCCTCCCTCACTCCCCTCCCCACCTTTCATCTCATTCAGCCTGCTAGACAGCGTCCTTCCATCATTGGCCCCACATGGCCATACCCCAAGTCGCACAAGTCTAGCTTGGCCATGAATTCCACCACTCCTGCCAGCAGAGCATGCAACGCATTTCGTTTTGAGAGAGAGACAAAAAAAAAAAAAAACGAAACAAAGCAGAACAGAACAAAATAAAAAACACCAAGAAAGAATCAACACACAATAACTCGCGTTCAACTGCGAGTGCAGCAGACTAACACATGGTTAGGGAAAATCTTCACATACAAACACATCGTCTCACTCACCCGTTCGTGAGCTTCAGGCGGTGAAGCAGGCGGAGGAGGTGAGGGGAAATCCATTCCCCATCGCTCCACGTCCGGCATATCAAATATCTCGCGGTGCTTGCTAATGTCATGCTCGTACCCCCGGTTGCCTCCACACGGCTCTGATCCCGCCAGCAGGATGGCTGCCTGGGCACACACTAGCTTATCCACAATCGCCACCACTCCTGCCAGCATTGCAACGCAAAACAGGTATTCTGGTATTAACAAAAGATGAGATCAATTCAGGGGTACAAGCGTTATTACATACAATGTATGTTTGTTCAAGTGTAGAATTTACAAAGTACTTATACATACACTTGCATGACGGGTGTCACCTCTCTTGAGTGTAGTGCACTCCCATCATTCCTTACATCATTCGATTCTTCCTAATCTTTGCCAACCACTTAAAATGTTACTGCCACCTCTCCTTACCTTTGCAAATCTCATTTCTTTCCCTGGTAATCCTTTACGAACATCCTTCCATTTGTTCCTGCAATACTACTTGCGTGTTTCCTTTGTTTCCTCTTACCTAAATATCTTTCTTCCTCCTTACACAACACACGAGAATGCAAGAACGCACACATGCACACGCACATACACGCACGCACGTGCATGTGCACACACACGCACGAGCGCGCACGCACACACACACACTGACAAAACCATGCCTGTTACATCCTCCTTTCCACACACAACGGCGACACATGACTGCCAATGATCAATCGCAACTCGGTTGAAAGACTCACTCACTGCATTAAACTAACCCCAGCACTAGAGTCACCGGGGTCGTAACAATTTGAAAAGAGACGATATTTGAGCCAGCTCTGAAATCATATAAACAATCGTCACTTATGCCGCTGGATTCTACTCACCGGGATCATACGAGTTGAGAGCCGGAACCAGCGCATCAAGAATCCATGTACAAAGCCATTCACCAAGATCCCAAAGCGGCTTCCCAATCATAACCGTCCACACACTCACACGAGAGTGAAGCCAATGCAGGTGCCACCGGAATCGTAGAAGCGGCTCAAGAAACAACCCCACAAACCTACTCACCGGAATCGTACGAGTTGAGAGCGGGAATAAGCTCATCAATCAACACCGTGCCGCTGACATGAGACCGCAGCCAGTGCAGCTGCTGCGCGGCCATGCCGGTAACCGGCGTTTCAAACAGCCACTCCATATACCCCCAGGAGCTGGACCGCGACGGCGCACTAGACGCATTGTACGGCACATCGGCGGCTATGAAGACAGCAGAGATGTTATGCTGCTGCTTTTACCGCGTTGATGTGCTGCACCGCACTCTCCGTGCACCACTGCATCTGCTGCTTGAGCATCGTTGCGTTGCTGTGCCCGTTTGGGAGCAGCTGGTTGTCCGACATCTGAGGAGGGTGGGAGAGCAGGGGAGGTGAGGACGCATGGGGTGGAGAGTAGTGTTGGTCATGCAGGTGTGGTGCAGGGGGGGCGTGGTGCAAGCATGTAGGGTGTGATGATTGGAAAATGTGATGCATGCAACCCATTCATTCCCCGCTTATGCCGTGCCTACCGCTCTGAAGGCAATGAGTTCTCAGTGGGAATGCACAGCAAGAAAAGGCTTGGGGAGATGCTCCACAGTGTGTTTTGAGTTGACTCAATATACAGCTCTTGCCTTGCCTTCCACTCATGCCGTGCACACCGCTCATGCCGTGCGTACCACTCTGAAGGCAATGAACTCGGAGCGGAAGTGCACCGCGAGGAAGGGCTTGGGGAGGCGCTCCACAATGCTGGCGGCGAGGTAGTGCCACTCGTGCTTGTAGGGCAGCTGCTGCAGCGCTATGTCGTCCGTGTGTGGCTCAAAGGACACACGCTCCCACGTGGTCTTGAACCACAGCACCACGTCCTTATCCCTCCTGTGCTCGCATGTGGGATCGGGGGTGGGTGTGGTGGAGTTTGAGACGTCTCAGACTTCGAAGCACACACGCTCCCACCTGGTCTTCAACCACAGCACCCCACGTCCTTGTCGCTCCTGTGCATGTACGTGGGATCTGGGAGTGGGTACAGCAAAGGGGTGGGTGTGGCAGAGTTTTGAGACGCCTCAAAGTCCACAGTGCACTCGCTCCAATGAGGACTTGAGCCACAGCACCATGTCCTTGTTGCTCCTGTTTCCATGGGTGTGGCACCGCAGTTGGGTATGGCCGCAGAGAGGTCGTAGGACAGAGCTTTGAGGTGTCTGAAAGCTCACAGTATACGCGCTTCCACGTGGTCTTGAACCACCCCGCCATGTGCTTGCACGTGGCACACGGTTTTGCACGGGGGTTGGTATAGCTCCGGAATGGGCGTAGCAGAGAGGTTGGTTGGCATGGTGCACATGGCACACACACACACTCACTTACCATAGTCTTGTGGCAGCCATGGGGTTGCAGCAGTAGCAAGGATCGCACACCCTGCCAGCAGCGCACACCCTGCCAGCAGCGCACACCCTGCCAGTATCGCACTCCCTGCCAGCATCGCACATACTGTTTGCGAACAAGGTTTTCGATGTCGTGTTTGTTAGCAGGCATGTTGAAGAGAACCGTGTTGTGCTCTGTGGGCACGTGGCCCAGGGCGAATGTCAGCAGCTCCCCTGTGAACTCCGACACCATGTCTGCTCGCCCACTCACATGCCGTGGCCCCACGTGTCGTGCCCCACATGCCATGCCCCACACAGCACCCACCCCACACGCCACGGCCCCCAGACCCACACACACACGCACACGCAAACACACACACACACACACACACACACACACACACACACACACACACACACAAAGAGGGCAGCGTGGATGGTGTTACATATGTAGAGGGAATGGAGTGAGGAGGTGGGAAGGTATGGCATGTGTGAGTGAGATAGAGCAGAGGCAAGCACAGACACATGTATGCACGCACGCACGCACGGACGCACACGCGCGCGTGCGAGCGCGGGCGCGCATGCTCACGCACGCACACAGACGCACACACACGCACATACATGCGCGCACGTGCGCGCACACACACACGCGCGTGCTCACACACGCACACACACGCACCCACACACACACAAACACACGCACCCACACATACACACACACACACCACACATACATACGCACTCACACACACACACATACGCACACTCATCATGAGTGAGACATATTGCCAGAGCACACTCAGACTCTCACACCCACCCTCACTCACCCACACACTCGCTCTCTCCTCCCACCCATTTACTTGCAAGAGCCGTCCTAGAAACACAATCGAAATGCCCACAGCAAGCCAAACCCCAATGCAAATGCCCACCCCAGACAGAGCATTTGTGGGGGAGGTAAGGCGTGGCCCCAAGCACATCGCCGAAAAGCATGCAAGAACGGACCCCAGTCGAAGGGATTGCGGTTGAGGTAGGGCGATGTGACCCAGGTGAAGCCCACTGAGGGGTCCTTGAGAGCTGCGCGCGCCAGCAGCAGGAAGAGCTCCGGTGATATCCAGGGCGCCGCATCCAAGGGCGTGAGGTCCCAGTAGGCGCAGAGTGGGAGTGGGTGTGAGAGGTCTATCCGGCTGTTACTCCCCTGGCATGCTCCCATGCACACGCGACAGGGGGAAGTGGGGGACGAAAGGGGGAAGGGAGAGGGGGAAGGGAGAAAAGGGGGAAAGTGGGGATACGAAGTGGGGAGGGGACAGGGGGAAAGAGAGGAATGTGGGGTGTGAGAGGTCAATCTGGCTGTGACTTCCCTGAGATGCAATGAAGAGCACGGGACAGAGGAATTATGATTTGATGGAGTGTACTCAGAGGTGGTGAAGGGGGATTGGTACCTGCGTTCTCGCCAGCGGCACCATGCACCCTCATTATTTGGCAGCGCGCACTCTCACCAGTGGCAGCACTCTCACCAGTGGCAGCACTCTCACCAGCGGCAGCACGAGCACGCGGTTGGCCATGCGGGCCACACGAGCGGCCTCCACGAGGTGCGTGCGCGCGTTGCTGAGCTGCTCCTCCGACATGGCGAACACCAGGTACCGCCCTGGCGTACTCAGGTCCAGTCGCTGCAATGCCTGCCAGCAGCCGGAGGGTGTTGGACGGGGAAGAGGGGAGTGGAGGGGAGGAGGGGGATTGGAGGGGAGGAGAGGAAACAGGTGGGAGAGCAGAGAGCCTAGGACATGGAGCAGCAATGGCAATGGTGTACGGCATCGCCTCCGCTGTGACTCACCCCTGCTAGTCCACTCACGAGTCAGGTCACCCAGCTTACACTGCGGGAGAAGGGCACGCCAGGTGCGGGCCAGCACGGCTCGGGCCAGTGCCGGCACGTGCTGCCGGGGGCGAGCAGGCTGCTCTGCACGCGGTGCAGGCGGCGACACACGGACGTTATTCCGCGTGCCACTGCTTCCGCGCTCGTGTAGCCGTGCCGCTGCACGCTCCGCAGCCACGCGCTCTCGTTCACGCCGCCCTGCACGGCGCGCTGCCACGGCGCCGAGCACAGAAGCGCCACGTCATGCTGCACTCGCAGTCGCTCCGCATTCTGCGCCGTCGCTGGCGGATCTTGCGTGTCGCCCAAGGACCCCGCCGCCGGCGTCTGAGCTGCCTCCGCCACCATGCGCGATTCGTGGAGAGCAAGAGTTTCAATGGCGGCGGCTTCTCTCTGCTTGCCCTGTGAAGCCCAATCCTGCAGCGACCGACACAAACTAGCTCGGCAATTGGCGGCGAGACGAGACTCCGACTCCGACTTCGAATCTAGATCGTTCATAGCATCGCGACTCGGCCAGCGCGGCGGCGGCCATCCGGCGGCTTCCGCGACTTTCCGGGCCAGCGTAGAACCGCGTAAGTCGTGGAGGGGCCGCACCACTGCTTCTAGCTCGTGAGTGGGCGGCATGGGCGCGCGGCGCGTGTGGAGAAGAACGATCAACGCGAGTGAGGTCGCGAGCGCGACGAGCAGCACGGGCCAAGGAACAACGCCGCCGCCTGTTGGGTCGTGCCGCAACCTGTTGCCATTATTTCCGCACGGGGCGGCGGCGCGAATCTCGATCGCCGAGCCGGATTTTCCGGAGAGGACGCGGCGGGCACAGGTGAAGACGTTGCCGACCCGCGCCGCGAGGCAGTTCAAGCCGTCTACTAGTAGTACCAGGCGCGGTCGCATTGCGATCCGAGGCGCATTCGCGTGGTCTAGAAATCAGTACTGTGCGAGTAGAGCTTGAAGAGACCGATTGCCACTCGAGGCGCGCTGTCGCGACGTGTACTACTGGTCAACGGCAGTATCGCTACACCTGGTCCGCGATATTTTAACCACCGTTATCTTAGCCACCTGGGGTACCTACCCTTGGTTCAGCTAGTTTATGAGGGTAGTTTTAGAATTAGCGGGGGTAGAGTCGCGCATTCCCTTCGCGAGATGACGGCTAGTAACAACTGTCAATGTCAATCCGCCCCTTCTCTTGGATCACGAAGTGTGATTTTCATTATACTATGCTGCGATCAGTAGGCGATCGCTCCCAGGATCTCCTCAGGAAGGTTCGCACACAGCTAGATAGTGTTGGTGGGCCCTTGACCTCAATAGCAGAGTGAATGTAAAATGCTTGAGATGATAAGAACATGCAAAGACAAAGATATAAATATAAGTACAGGGGAATTCGAATCGACCTAGCTAGCCATGTACTCTAAGGGGTACATCCCCTTATTCAAATTCATTCCCAACCGTGCGGCGCGTACAGTTACGAAACTGTTCCCGCCCAATTCCTCTTACCTGCAGCTGCCCGATGCCGTCTGCTCCGACGGTCCCGATCCACCCTAACCGTCTGACGCTTCGAGTCAACTCTGGCCCTTCGCATTCATTCTCGAAACTGCGTGCTTCCTTAACTGCGGTTTAGGAGTGCACAGTAATGTTTCATTCATTACTTTTTGTAACACCCCCCTTCACTCCTGGCCGTAGCTCGACTTGACCTGCTTGACTACTCCGCTGAGTTCAGAGCAATGCTGGTACTGCTGACGTGGTAGTTGCTTCGTGAGGAAGTCCGCTGCCATGTCACCCGTTGGGCAATAGGTCAAGTCAACCCTGCCTTTGTCCACATCGTCCTTGACGAAGAAGTACCGCATCACAATGTGCTTGGTGCGGTTGACAAAACCAGGTTTGTTCGCGATGCGAATCGCGCTCTGGTTGTCGAAGTGAAGGCGAAAGGTGGGCGAAGCTGTAATTTTCGCATCCTGCAGAAGTTCCTGCAAGTAGAGGCCTTCGCGAACTGCTGCCGTTGCTGCGATGAATTCCGCTTCGGCCGACGACAAGGCAACCAGCTCTTGTTTCGGCGAGTTCCACGAGATTGGTCCCGTCGATTCGAGCCGGAACAGGAAGCCAGTCCTGGAACGCCGATTGTGAGGATCTGCTGCGTGATCGGCGTCCACGTAGCCGATGAGGTTGAATGATGGGGTGGGTATTGTTGAGTAGCACAGCCCGATCTTGGGCGTTGAAATGAAGAACTGCAAGGCGCGCTGCAGGTCCAGAAGATTCTCAGCCGTTGGTTTGCGAGAATACTGGGCTAACTGGCTCGCGATGTAGGAGAGGCCGGGCCTGCATGTAACAGAGGAGAAGAGCAGACATCCCAGCTGCTGCTGATAAGTCTGAATTCCAGCGGGGGATAGTGTCAAACTTATATGCAGCTGCTTGTGTAGGCTGTAGTGGGGTAGCCCATATGGGGTACAACCCTGTTAGGGTTTCATACTTGTACTCATCCTGCTGCTAGTTCATTCATCCCTGTTCACTATTCTGACATGGTTTCAGAGCAGGTCCTAGCCTAGGACCGATCTCTTAGGGCCCACCGAGAAGCGCTGGTGTAATCATGTCGTACTGCCCTACCCTGCCCTGCCCTGCCCTGCGCCGCCTGCAGCAGCGCGCCCTGCTTTGCTAGCGCGCCGCCTGCTGCAGCGCGCTCTGCTGAGTCTCGCGCCACCTGCTGCAGCGCGCCCTGCCCTGCCCGCGCGCTGCCCGCGTCGCGCGCCCTGCTCTGCACGCGCGCTGCCTGTGTCGCGCGCCCTGCCCTGCCCGCGCGTTGCCCGCGTCGCGCGCCCTGCCCTGCCCGTGCGTCGCACCGTCAAGCACTCTGCCCTGCCCGCGCGCTGCGCCGTCGCGCGCTCTGCCCTGCTGTGCGCACCCTGCCCTACCGTGCGCCGCTCACTGCTGCACTGCTGCTAGCGCGCTCCCTGCTGCACTGCTGCTAGCGTGCTGCTCTGCTACTAGCGTGCCCGATAGAGTTCAATGCATGGCTAGACGATTTACAGCTGTTTATGCTGACTGACTCTAAGGACGGTACTTCGCCTCGCACGCCCCTGACACCACAGCTGACAGTGCGACCCGCTCACAGTGGCTTACCTGTGACGCTGCTGCTCGCCTAGCCGTTCGCAACCACCTTCCGTTAGCCGAACGCGCCCACTTTGGCCAGCATAAGACAGCTAAAGCACTGTACGACGCTGTAGTCGCTCGTTACTCCTCCCCGGCCACTGCTGCTCTACGCCGCCTTCTCCTGCCCTACCTGTTCCCAAAGCTGTCCGCCTTTGCCACTGTAGCCGACCTAGTCACTCACCTCCGCACTAGTGACACTCGCTACCGTGCTGCGCTCCCCGCCGAGTTTCTCGCCAAGAACCCACCTCCCATG